CTTCCTCCGTCCATCCCAGAGAGACCGCTGCTCTTCGGCGTCGGTCACTGCAGGGTCCCAAAGGGCTTGGCATGGCAACAGTCACGAGAAAGGCGAGTGTCCCGGGGTCTGCCGCAGCGGGCGGCGGGGGGAAAGCCGTCCCGCTCCCTACTGCAGCAGCTTCGGTACCTCCACCTGCCAGAGAGGACACCCCATTACTGGGGGGGACGGGGAGCAATGGGAGGGGACGCTGGAGTGTCCCACCGACCTGCTGTGGTGGAGCTGGGCTGCTGGGGACACTCAGTGCTCCAGCGACATCTCATCCCCTTGGCCAGGCGGGTTGTCCCCATGGGCAGGGACACAAACCCCCCAGTGACACAGTTTGACCCCATGCTGGGACCAGCGTTGGGGACACAGTCTCTCTGGCCACCCTGGGCTACCACGTCCCACCCCTGGGGCTCAGCTGTGGCTCCGTGGCAGCAAGAGCTGGGTGAGCTGCTGCCCGTGGAGACCTGGGTGCTGTGCCCACCCAGGACATGGGTCCGCGTGAGTGCATGTGAGCCGCCCTCGCTGCAGCTGAGCACCGCTCCAATTCTGCACGGGGACGTCCTGGGTTTCCATCCCTGGGGGTTAGGGGTTAAAGTTGGGTTCTTGTGCCCCAAGCCCTGGAGCCAAACCTGACCGCTGGAATGAGGTGGGTCTGCCCACCCCAGGGGCTCCACCACGGGATGGACCTGCTGACCCCATCAGCTCGGCAAGGGAAGGTGCGAAAGGACGGATCTGCCCATCCTATGTGCATGACGAAAGGATGGATCTGCCCCTTTCATGCTCTCCACCACGGGATGGACATGCTGACCCCATCAGCTCGGCAAGGGATGGTGCAAAAGGATGGATCTGCCCACCCCACGTGCGTGATGAAGGGATGGATCCCTTCCATGTGCACTGCACAGGGGTTGGGACCAGATGCTCTGCTCTGTACCCTGCACTGGAGAAGGACATCCCTAACCTCTCTGCTACCCAAGTGACATCAGACGTGACCTCAGATCTCAGTCCCCTGCAAGCGTTGGCCACCCCACCACAGCCCTGCACTTGCCTTCTTGAGCTGTTTGAGGTTGCTGGAGCGGATGGCTGCCAGGAGCTGGTCCCGCGAGTTCTTCTCCTGGACTGGCAGTGCCCGGTCTCCCAATTTCCTCTGCGTGGCCGGTGACAGTGAGTTCCTCAGGTTCTCGGTGATCAGTGGTGGAGCAAGCGGAGGAGGAGGTGGGGGTGGTGCGGTGGGCGCACCACCTTTCTTGGGAGAGGTTTTGGAAGAACCCTTGGGGGACGGCTGCGGGGATGGCTTGGGGGAACCCTTGGGCAGGGCTCCAGGCTTGGGCACCTCCAGGAGATCTTTCTTCTCCCCACGCTCCTGTGCCAGTTTCTGCTCCTGGAGGCGTTTCTGCCTCTGTTTGTCCATGTTTCGGCTCAGCAGGTTGGTGACCGTCATGCGCGGTCCTGCCAGCTCAAAGTGGTAGCCCAGCTTCAGGAGCGTGGTGTTCTCCTTCAGGAGCTTGGCGATCTCCATCTCTGTCTTCCCCCCGCAGATGTGCCGCTGGTTGTGGAAACGCAGCTCCGTCAGTGTGTCATTCTGCAGCAGCGCCCGGAAAATGGCCAGGATGCCCTTGCCTGTGATGTGGTTGGAATCCAGGTTGATGCTCTTCAACACCTTGTTGGACTTCAGCATGATGGCGATGGCAAAGGCCACGTGGTCGTCGGCGCGAGTGTTGGCCAACGCGAAGAGCTTGACCACGGTGTTGAACTCCAGTGCCTCGGTGAAGCGCACCAGGGTCTCGTTGTTGATGCAATCTGAGTTGTTCACGTTCACTTCGGTGACCTCGGCGTCGTTGTTCTTCACCTTCTCGATGAGCTCGTCAAAAATGCTGGAGGCTTCGTCCTCCTGGGCCTGATCCGGGGAGCTGCCGGTGCTGGGCTTGGGGGGGCTGCTCTCGGCCACCGCCTCCTGTTTCTCCCCCTCTGCCTTTTCTGCCTCTGGATGGGATTTCTCCTTCTCGTCTGCCTTTGGTTTTTTCAAAGCTGAGCTCTTTTCATCTTCTTTTTTATCTTTTTCTTTCTTATCTTCTCCCTTTGTGTCTTTTTCTGCCTCTTTCTTTGATTCCGAACTCTTCTCTTCCTCCTTTTTGTCCTTTCCTGAGCCCTTCTTTAATGCTGAGCTCTTCTCCTCTTCCTTTTTATCCTTCCCTGTGTCTTTCTTTAATGCTGAGACCTTTTCTTCCTCCTTTTTATCCTTCCCTGTGTCCTTCTTTAATGCTGAGACCTTTTCTTCCTCCTTTTTATCCTTTCCTGCATCCTTCTTTAGCACTGAGCCCTTCTCCTCCTCCTTCTTATCCTTCCCCACATCCTTCTTTAGTGCTGAGCCTTTATCTTCTTCCTTTTTATCCTTCCCCACATCCTTCTTTAACACTGAGCCCTTTTCCTCCTCTTTTTTATCTTTCCCTGTGTCCTTCTTCAGCACCGAACCCTTCTCTTCCTCCTTTTTGTCCTTCCCCATCAGCTTTTTCTCCATGGCCTTGACTTTGTCATTGATCGCCTTCTCCTCTTTGGCCTTGGTCTCACCTTTGCCTTTTGGGTCTGTTTTCTGGACACTTTCCTCTTTTTTAGAGTCTTTCCCCACTTTTGTATCTGGTTTCCGGGCCAGGTCTTTGGAAGGAGTTTCCTTTCCCTTTCCTTCTTCATTCTTGCTTCCTTTATTCTTCTCATTCGATCTGCTTTCCTAACAAGAGAAAAACACCAAGGCGTTACAGAGATGGCTGCGTCCAACATCCAGACTTGCCACCCCATCCTGTTGTCACCAGCTCTGCGCCTCTGTCACACAGCAGCAGCCATGGGGCCCCGGGGGATGTGCAGGAGGATGCAGGACGGTCCAGGCTCAGGAAGATCTTAGACTACATCTGTGAGGGATGAGCTGTCCTAAACACGACCCGACAGTGTGCGCTGGCAGCCCAGAAACCCCCCGTGTCCTGGGGACATCCCCAGCAGCGTGAGCAGCAGGGTGAGGGAGGGGATTGTCCCCCTCTGCTCCGCTCTGGTGAGACCCCCCCTGGGGTGCTGCCCCCAGCT